GTGTGTGTGTGTGTGTGTGTGTGTGTGTGTGTCTGTCTGTCTGACTGGGCGGGAAGGTGGAAAAACAGAAAGAGAAAGATTGATCTCTGTAAAATGTTTCAAATCCATTATTTTCTTGAGCAACCCATGTTGACAAGACACCCTGAAAAGTTTATAGCAGCAAAACATTTACTTGTTTTTAAAAATGTAAAATTAGCATTACCATTTTTTTTGTAAAGTCATCATTTAATGATCTAAAAAAGACAAGTTCTTCAGAGTCCTCAAACTAAAAAGGTCCCTTGGAAAAGAAACAAAATGTTTTGTTTTTTTTTTCAACAAAGAACTCATCCAGGACCTACTCAACTTGTTTTGGACTTTTTTTCCTTGATTATTGAGATGTATCAGGACATTAATGATAAAKCATAATAAAACTAATGAGATTATTGAGCATAAACAGTAAATTATCATCAAACTGTGACTCAAACAAAACAAAGTGAGAGCTGCTGGTGTTAACTCTCAGTCATCCAGGAGAACGAAAATCCCCAAAAAAGTAAAAATTAGAGTTCTTTTAAAGTTGGGTACTGTGAAAAAGTTATGAACAATTATTTAAAATCAGGAGCCACAGTTTGTGGAAGCAGGACCCACAAAACCATGTCCAATTTCCTCAGGAAAGCCAGTAAAAATGCAGACTCAAAATKGTTCTCATGCACTCAACAGTTTGCCTCTGATCTCTTTAGGCAAATTGTGCATCAAAGATTGACAAACTTCTAATCATTTCGTTTAACTTACAACAAACCAATCATCTGTACAAGACACAAACTCTCTGCTCATCGTTTTTCCTCACACAATGAAGCACTCAAACAGTTTACACATGAACACAAAGAAGCCTGCACAGCTTTGCCCATTTCATTCATAATTCCCCCAAAACAGGTTTGCAAATGTCAAGCTCARCAACCTGGGCCTAACTGACACGGCTGCATCTCTTACGTCACTTGAGCTTTTCTTTTTGCCAAGTTTCTTTTTTTTTCCCCTGCCGCCCCTACTTGTAGCTTTTAGTCCCCATCTTCGGTACGACATCTGAGTTTTCATCTTTTAGGTCCACACACCCAAGGCATGTGCACCTTAAATGAAACAGTAGTTTTATTGACCCTGTTGAAAAGGTCAGTTCCTTCATGCTTAACCTTCATCTGGGGCCAAAAGGGCCGTAGGTGGGATAAAGCAGCGAAGCCAGCTCTAATAACTGATGAAGGCTGCGTAATAGAAAAAACAAATAGAATGAATAGAAGAGGGAGAAGGGGGATATTTCAGTGCCGCAAGACTGATTGCATTTGACAAAGGGCTTCGGTGACCTTGTATGAAAGCACACGGTTGCGCACCAGCCTAATAATGGCATCCCTTTAGTCGAGGGCTCTCAMAAGAACTCACTGCATGTTGTGTGTCACGTAAAAAGGCTTCCCTGACCTCAGGGAGCTACCCATGAGACAGTCCAACAACCACAGTGCTTAACACTGATAAACCAAACTATCCGAGTCTTGGTCAAGTTCTCCTCACRGGGACTGTCAGCAGAACGGTAATGCAGTTTGACCTAGAATGAAATTTTCCTTTAATGAGTCAAGGGCTTCCCCCACGATAGTGCCAGGTCAGCGAGATGCATCCGGAGTCCAACAGAAGTGTATTGAAGAGTAAATCACTTTGAATATTACGCAACAGCAGCACACCAAATTACTCAACTGCTGCCRCCCGAGTTTGCCTTAAATTAAGTATTGGCAGTCTTTGTCTGATTAATTCGCATGGTACACAGCTTCCCTTTAACGGATGAAYGCAAATTTCAAGCCGAAGCACGACCCATGTCAATCGTCATTACAGGCTGATTAATGGAAAACAAGCCAGTCTTACAGGAAAGAGAAAAATACATATAATAGCCCAAAACAGTAATTAATCTCATGCTTTTAGACTCATTACTGTTTCCTTTTAAATCATTAGCAACCTAATAATATTTGAGTACCATCGTTTTGAAATYGAATCCAGCATGGTTTCCAAGCAGTGACACAGTTGTTTGAAGTAGAAAGCGTTACAAATGATTCACCACCACGCATGTACAGGACAACAAGAGCTGTGTTTATCACTCAGTAGGGATGATGTTACTTCGATCACAGACAAAAATGCTTTGTGTTTGTAATTTGCAGACGTGGAATRCAATCCCAGCACCGCACAGGAAGAAGATAAGGACCCTGGACAACAACGTAAGATGTCAGTAACTGGATTTCATCAAGGCTGACATGAGTGGGGGGGACTGTTTAGAGAAGTAAAAAGTGGTTTTGCTATCTGCGAAGATATGAAAAAAGAAAATTTTGCAAACYGATTCAGCAGTTCTAATCAATTATAAGCATCTGTGAGAACTATTTGACATCATCCTGTTATTTCTTTCAACTAAAATTGATCCAGAAAATAGTACATCTGATCTCTACTGACATTATARCAACATAAAAGTCTAAAACGCCACCAGATAATCTCTTCAAAGCCTTTTTTGTTTGCATTTCTGCTCACGTACGGAATGCCCCGTCTTCAATTTCCTGCCTTTGCACTCACGAAGTTCTTTATTGTCAACTTGTAACAACGGCTGCTACTGGCTGTACAAGATTCAGACGGATGATCTCATGTTTTACTGTTCATGTGGGAGTTGTTCTTTAACAAGCATGCCTGCAATGTGTTATTATGCAACCGGAGCGCGTTGAGCTATGATTGCGAGCGGGAAATGTGAGATCGAGAGGGTGCGATTTTGCTTCCAGTTTCGGATTCCTACCTTGGCAGCCACAGAGGAGCTGGGCTTCTCCAGGAGATCCCACAGTTTCTTCCTCTTCTCTGGGCAGCAGGTGTTATCAAACTCTCCCTCTCCCTCCCTCTCCCTCATGGTCTCGGCCTCCCTCCGCAGCTCCTCGTTCATCTGCTCTTTCTTCTGGTGGTATCGGGCCTGGCAGCACGACTCCAGGTAGATCTCGTCAATCCCCCAGTAGTCCAACTCCTGGCCGAAGGAGAGGGCGCACATCTCCTCCATCATGTGCAGCTTGCCCGTGCGGTAGAAGTTCAGGATGGAGGTGAAGGCCCCCGGGTGCCGATCGAAGAAGTACTCGTTCTCGTTCAGGCTGTAGTCGTCGCAGACCTCCATCAGGGACTCGTGGGTGTTGCAGTCTCTGAGCTTACCGAGCCGGGTCCTGGGTAGCCGATCCAAGGTCCGCCACAGTACCTCGTGGTTCAGACCCCCTACGTTAAGGCGGACTCTGCGGGAGCGAGCTTTGGTGCGGATGATGTCTATAGGCTCGGGGGGCAGCGGGGGCGCAGTTCGGACGTTGTTGGGTTTAGGACCAGCGGCTCCGATCTTTTCAGCCATGGTAACAGAACCGTAAACCTCCGGGAGGATGTTACACAGAAAAAAAATTAAAAATAAATCTAAAACTTTTCAGCTATGTTGGATCCTCTTTAGGCAAGTCCATCCATGGCTGAGAAAACAAAAGAGACACGTTGTGAGACAGTGACAAATCAAGCACATCAGAAAAACACACTTCAGYATCAAAACGGACATTATAAACAGCCTTTGGAAACGGCAAATGCCAATCAAAAGTTGTGACTGCAGCAGAGTGTTATTGATCCCTTTCATCACATTTCTTTGTTGGCGKTAGACACAATCAATGGTTCTGTTTTAACAGTCAATGTGAACGGCTTTGCCGTCTGGTTTGGCACAGTTTCTTTGTTTTTGGTCAGCCGGAGCACCACTGTGTGCAGACCATGCTCTAGAGCTCTGAAGCTCTGTGTTTGTGTTAAAACTATCTGGACAGAGGATGCATGTGTGGCAATGATTCCCGGACTCTTATCTCACTTTTTAYGTTTCCTGTCATAGAAAACTCCCTGATAGAAATTTATTTGCACCGATTGCAGACTATTCAAACATTTAATCACTTTAAAAAGTTAGGAGTGATTTTAATCAGGGATAGGACTATTTTACCTAAGCTAAGGGGCTGTTTAGTAGCACATATTTCAGACAAATTTGACTTATTGGATACAAATGTGCAACAAAGAGCTGATAATTTAACCATTTCAATGCATAAAATGGGTTGACAAGACAAGAAAAATTAAGGTAACTCATTAAATTGACATGCCTAGTTTGATTTACAGAGCAAAYACTGCAGCATACCTGTTACACATCATCAATGCCCAGTCCATCACCTACACTCAACCCACAGRTTTGCTTTAGAATCAGTTTAAAGTCACGTTGGACGCAGAAAACGCTGTAAAACAAAAAGAGAGAAAATATAATCTCACCTTGCCGCGGTAGACCACCCTTTGCATGCAAACTCTCCTGTGGTTTCTGGGGGGAGCAGAGGATGACAAGGGAGGAATCCCCCTTTGGTTAAGCGGACACGGCTGGACGCAGCTCTCCGCGGAGCTCTGATCGCGCGTCCCTCATCGTGATGAAAATGAGTCGGGGAGGAAACAGATGAAGAAGCGGAGAAACAGTCCTCTGATTCAGAGAGGATCACATTGGACTGAAGTGCCGTTCAGCCATCGGAACACAGAGAAACAAGAGTCCTCCTCCTCCTCACTCACTCACTCCTAAAAGCTCGAAGAAGACAGGCTGAGTGAATCAATGCGGACGTGAAGCGGGATGAGCGAACTGCGGAGTGTCCCGCTGCTTACTACAGAGGAGAGGCGCGCGCACAGGCTGCACCACGCGCAGCGCACAGATCCAATCAGCACCGGGCAGCAGGTTGGAGCTGATCACAGTCTAAATAATAAGAAATCTGTTTGACAGAGCTGTGCTTATAAAAGAATAATGTTGCTTATTTGTTTGACTCCATTTATGAAAGGGGATGTTTTATGCATTGGGTTTATTTTTATTTTTAAATTCTGTTGGATCTTGGTATTAAAGCCTACCAATTCTTGAAGGAATGCATGTCACCCACTGCCTTTCATTGCAAAAAAACATTCGTGCGTGCAAACTGAAATAAAGCAAATTTTAGCTTAGTATTTATGTAACTGACTGAGTTTATGTAATTTTTGTTCAAACTAAAACTAAGTTGTGACGGCCATCTTGAATTGGGTTGACCCCGAAATGTAATTAGTTGTAGATMATTTAATTCTGGGAGTTTTATGAAAATTTATACAGTGCTTCATCAGATGTTTTAGTAGCAAGCAGATACACAAACACACAGGTTTGGGCTAAAACATCTTCCTGTGGCTGATGATCCTTTTCGTATCTAAAACGGAGGAAAAAATAAATAAAAAAATATCATTAGGACAATAAATCCTAATAAATCTGCTCACATTGAAATAGTTTTCCATTTTTGTTTTCAGGAAGCAAAACGTCTGAGAATCTGAAAGCGACTCATTAAGATTTAGTTCAAAGCACTCAGACGATCAATACAATGTTGACTATACTTTATCCTCACATCATCTATCAAACCCTCCACTAGCACACAAGAAAAACAAAGCATGCTGTTATTTTAGTTTGAATTAAAATGATGAGAAAGTAAAGTTAGAAATTAACCAGCGACCATGAATTATTTCACCAGTAGCTCCTGGAAGGGGATCACTGGCACCTGAAGGTTGGTGCATGCCCCACAAACCACCCCGCAGCCTTGTCCAATCACACCAAATCACTGCCTGCCCACTGAAACTAACAGGCCTTTCATTACTATTCACAGCATCATACTGTAAAAGAAACAAAACAGCAGCACATAGCTGCTTTGTCTTAAAAAATGCTCACAGATTTTCCAGGTAAGACTGTGTAACCAGAGAAAGGATTCAAAGAATACAAAATAAATAAATAAATAAATAAATAAATAAATAAATAAATAAATAAACTTTCAACTCAGCCAAAAAAGGTACCGGTAGAACCTACAGCATAACAAAAAACAAGAATATTCTTGATTTTCTGCACATGACTGAGAAGGCTACACATCAATTTGACACGTTTCCATTACAACAGTTGTTTTTGTCAACAACAATAATTTAATTTCTGTAATACTCCAATGAAACAAATGTTCTTCWTGCTCTGCCAGTCCCTGAAAATATGTCATCATACGGCAAAAAGGCCCAATTTATTTACGATACTATCAAGATTTGTACGTTTTCTGGCTTTAAACGTGCATTTTGCATACAAGCACATGTAAACCCACCCCYGTCTTTTCTTGAAAAATACATGGGTGTCCCATAAAGCAATGGCACCGTAAGATTGGTGCAGAATTTGCTGCAGGCATCTTTTTAAAGTAAGGACCATAAAAATCAATGTTGTGTTGCTTTTCACTCTAAGTGCAGAAGTAAAGCCGGTGACTTCGCTTCACGGTGACGAGTTTTCACTGAAACCTTCAGAAAAATATGTATTATTTAGCATCTCCTTAAAATACAACAAATTGCTTTCACACACTCTTTAGTTTTTTTTTTTTTTGGGCTCTACTTTTAAAAACACATCTGCCACCTTTACAAGCAAAACATCTAGAACCTCAAATGCATTTTGATTTAATAATCTGCGATCCTTCAATGGACCCAAATAGCCTGATGAGTGCATGGAAAACTTATAGATTTTTTATCAAGTCAAGGTTAAATAGTATTTTTTTTTTTTATTAGGCACTTCTTTTGTGTGGAAGGCATTAAATACATAAAACACTGCGTAAAACATTTGACGAGAAGTGGTATTAACAATAAGTTCAAATTTTAAAATCTACATTAGAATGAATTTTTGGTGCAAAAACACAGACAACTAAAACCAACACTAACTGACTTGTGTGTTAATGAGTTTATTAGAGCTGGTCACAAAACTTGTGGCATGTTTTGTCCTGGATGATAACAAGCTATTACTGCAGGAGGCCAACAATAAACCAAAGACACAACAAGCCTGCCAATCTATTGGTTATTAATATGTAATAGTCTGCCAAGTCCCTGCAATGAAATGAAAATATAAAATATGTATTCCTAAATGTCCCCGAAGTTATTACCAACAGATTGTTTCTCCCTGTCCACATAAAGAGGCTGGTCTTCAGAGCAATGATGCTTGTAGAGTCAATTGAAAAGAAGGTTTTAAAACCAATAGTTCAGATCTTTTGAAGTGGGGTCCTGTGGAAAAGTTATGAGGATTTAATATTGGATTTGTGGTAGACGGCTCTTTTAACAACATCAGGCTCATATGAGCGGGGCAAAGTGGATTGTTGTTGACTCTAACTACATTTTTAAAAAACTCACTTCATGCAAAATCTAATTTAAACCATTACATCACCATCAGGTTTGTATTGCAYAATGAATTGAATTCTGTGATTAGCTGCAACAAGCTGTAACACATCAACTTGGGACACTTCTGTCTGCCAGAATAATCATAAAATGCTAAACTAATGATGGTGTAAAACTTTAGAAAACAGTGTTTGCAAAATGTTTGAGTTAAAAAGTTGTTATAAAATGGAAGAAGTCCATTTTGGTTTTGGTCCACTGGTTCAGTCCGTCACAAATAACTGTTTCTCCAAACCGAGTTTGTTCAAACGTCTTCCTACAACAGGTAAGACTTTAATAATACATTGCTTTTTTATTTTTTATTTTTTTTTGCAAAACCAAACTTCAAAACCACTGAACTATTAGTTTTGGATATCCAAAGTTCTGAATATACAACTGTCACAAATACTCRGACTACACAGAAGCTGAGAAGTTTTGGGGACCCCAGAGCTACTTCTGACCTCCCAAACAAGCCGTGCCCACCGGGGGATAAAAACAGAAACTTCATGCACACAAAGACTTTGTTAGCCAGTGCAGCTGCATTGATTATTTGTCACTGGAAGGAAGGAACATAGAAGGAAAATCAATTACTTATATGCAGTGGTAAATCACATTGGTGAAATTGTGCTGAGCAAAGAGGGGACTTTCAATTGACACACATRTTAACTCTGTGGGGGAAAGAGTTGTAATAAAAGAGAAAGAACTGAGAACTTTTTTTAYTAATTAACATCATTCTTACACGTATTGAATTTTCCTCTGTGGCTCTGAACCTTATTTAACATGACAGCACTATAGTGAAAGGAGGACCATGTTCATGACCCCCAATTATAATATGTAAAATATTACCAAAACTGCTGATGATACAGTTGTTCATTAGGCTACAGAGAAATGATTAGGGCTAATTGACTGTGTCCACTTTCATTAATTATAATTATCAAACTGGCAGCCAATCAGCTATCCCTTGAGTCAGGATAAACGAGGTTGCAGCCGTGTGGATTCGAAATTATCAGCAAAGCAATGTTCTGCACCGCAGCTTCTGCAGCTGTCCAAACATGTTGTGTGGGACATGCTGGCAGTAAACGCTCCTTCTGCACCGCTACTTTGGAGAGCTGAAGGCGGCTTGCAGCCCCACATGTGAGTGGGATAACGTTGCTTTCTAGCTTGATATCTATAATTACCATCTTTTTCAAAAAGGCACAGTTAAGGCTGTGTTTCTATGTGGGTGTGTGTGAGTTGTGTGGGTTATTGCTAAAGCAACTCAAATAGTAACATTATGGTAAAGAGACAAGCTGGGCCACAGAAACAAACAGGGAGACAATCAAGACTCAGCAGAGCAAAGAATGAAAATGAAGATGAAAAATGTTTTTTCTGCATCATTACAAATAATCCCATTCATCAGAACAGAAAAAAATAAAGTGTTCAGATATTTTAACACAATTAGGCTCAGTTTGAGGTTGACTTTTTGTATTTCCTCATGAAAATCTTTCTCTTTTCATTAAAAATGTCAGATTTCAGTGGACAAAAAAATCTAAGTAAACAAATGTATATTTAGCTTTAAACGTGTGCATAATTCTGTGTTTAAAATACTCCAGGTCTGATGCATCAGTCCCCAGCTGCATTCGTATTCTCATCATTTGCGGCCAAATAAATAAATGATTAAATAAATAATAAAAAGACAGCGCGCTCTGATTCCTGGCTGCTGCATCCCCGAGCTGTCACTGCTGTGCTCTCTCTTTACAATTTGTCATGAAATGTGTCCATTCCATCATCCGTATAACGCTGTGGACACACTTGCACCCCTCAGCCTCTGCCTGTGATGCTGTCAGCAACATAGGAGACGCATCATCATCTATTCATCACACGCTCATTAGAGAGTCACACGGCAAAGACCTTTTCTGTTGGACCTGTATTTTCTGCAGTGATGGACTCTGGGAGGACTTTAGGTGCTGCAAATAAGAGCATGAAAAAGTCAAACAAAAGTAGAGTTTTCTTAAGAAAGGCTGAGTTAGATGGTTACAAGAATGG